GATTCTCTATATTTTAACTCTAAGACATTAAATGGAGCCAATTTTCTAGGTGACTTCTCCGATTCTCTCCCCAAAAACTATCTTTTAAAAGTATGGTATATTGTGTGGGCCTCCCTGGTGGCATAAGGGGTTAAGCACCGCACTATGAAGCAATCCACAGCCTCTGCAGAGTTCGATCCCCTGCTGGCCAGAGAGAAACCCACATGGCGAAGCAGACCCCTCCTGTCTTGCCCACTGCTCCCTTCAGCAGTGTATTTTCAGTCAGTCTGCCTATTCTGTTCCCTGCTTTGTCTCTGGTGAAACTTCTCACCCCCCACCTTGCATCTCTGGCCTGTACCCCAGTTCTTATATGCATAAATAAATAAATATTTTTTTAAAAATATGGTATATGGTGTATGTGTGTATGTGATTTCTTCTTTATCTTTACTGTTTTATTGCATAATTAGGGTGTTAAAAAAAAAAAACTCTTTACTGTCTAGAAATATATATAAAAATTTTCCCCCACAAAGATTCTATTCTCTCCTTTCCCCACCTTTTCCGTTCTTCAACATTACAAAGGGCATTATTATACCTTATTAAAATTTCACCCAGATGTCCAGACAATACTCCATCTATGTATCATTCTATATTTGAAAGCTGCAATTTCACACAGTTATCTATAGATACCAGGTAGCCCTTGTACTCCATACCCCATTTAATTTTCACCATTACTGATTTCACTTGTTAATCCAACAAGGAAAGGATCTGAACTGCATTTGGAATTAAAGGATAAACTCCTCTACACTACAGCAAATGCTGTAGGCTACTCACCTCCCACCGACCCAGGTGGATACAGTACCTACAGCTGGGCTCAAAAACACAGAACTTCAAAAGAAATTCTATGGTGTTAAGTTTTTATGTGTTTTAAGTGTATTCAAATTTTTTCAATTTTTATGATTAACAGTTTTGCAGAGGAAAAAAAAAATCTAGTAACCGAGAGCTTTGTTAAACCAGAGGATGTCAGTCACAGCAATCTATACTTCCCCATCTTAATCTTTTTTGGCAGGTTCTACCATGCCAGTGCTGTCTGGTTTCAGCAATTATAATTGCCAGGAGCTCATAAGAAAGGCAACATTCTCTGTAGCATAGAAAGTATTCAGTGCCTTCATTTTCACAAATAAGAGTTAACATCTAACTAGGTCTGTAACATTTTTTCAATAAGACATCTCTCTTATAACTAATCAACTATAAATTAGGGCTTCCAAAAATGAGAAGAAAACTGAGGTTTATTAATAATTGAACCAAACTGAAGGAAATAACAAGTGCTGAGTTATTTTAGTCAAAGGTGAATCAACATTCTCTAAAGCCACCCCACTAGCCCAACTGGTTTAAACATAATAATAATGTTATTCAGCTATTTAACATGGCTGTGAATAACAGCAGAATCAAGAGGAAAAGAAGATCAATATGTTCTCAGGCATGAAGAATGCTAACTCAAGAGGATAGGTTTTCCAGTGTTTCTTACTACATTTTTATCTAAAGAACTATACATATTTAAGAATCGAGAGCTTTAAAAAAAAAAAAAGAACTTTATGGAAAATTAATGAATATGCATAATTCTGAATGATTTGGTTTATTTTCAAAATCTTTTTTATTTGGGGAGGAAAATACTTCCCTATCTACAGAAATGGTTTCACAACATTTTTACAATTGAAACAAAAAAAATTATGAAACCTGCCACACCTATAAAAGGCAACCATAATTTGTTATAACAGTATCAAGATAGATGTTCTATGGCTTATTATTTAGAAGAACTTAGAGAGTTAAAATATTGCAAATTATACTTAAGTGCTTTACTCCCTAAAGCCACACTGCCCCCCCCCACCCCATAAGACTGTCCTTTCCTTAAGAGGTCAGTGGTTACAAAGCAACTAGAAAAGAATACAATTGGTTATGTCATTCTAACATTTATTCTGGATAGCATTTGAAAGCCAAAGGAAAAGGAACCTTATATAAAAAGCCCTGATAACACTGTAAATCTACCAGTGACAGTGAATGTTTAATCTTGGTATGTATCAGAGCAGTAATCCTGACCCTAAACAAAATGATCAATAGGATTATTATCTTCAACCTTGGCTTCAAGTCCTTACTTTCTCTGTGTGTTATATACTTAAGGATCTATAATACACTCACAATGAGATATAAATGGCCCCTAACTGCCAAACACAGCAGTCCTGAGGATATTTGCATTTTGACAGTTTCCTATGTCTTAGGCTAAAGGATAAGCTTTAGCAGGAATTTCAGGGGTCAGTCTTTGGATGAAAAAGTGCTCTCCCCTAAAATGATATTTTATAGGCTAGCCTAAATTTAGGAGACAGGATTTTCTATTCAGGATGAGTTTAAATTTTTCTACTTGAAAACCCAATCAGGCCAGGTTTTTGATTTTTAAAAGACACAGAAGATTTCTCTATTGGTAGCAAGAATAATCAAGCAGGTAATATTTTTTTTAACATGTTGCAAGTGACAGAGAATGGGCCTGAGGGGTAGAAAACTAAGGGAGACAATATGAGATTTCAGGTTGAGAGAGGCTATTAAGAAAAATGCAATCTGTAAGAACTGGAAATTCTTCTCACCTAAAACTTCTGAGGATCAGCTGATAGGTAACTCATTACCTTCTTGACAATGTTAAAATGGAAAAACAAGTATAAAACCTTTTCCCTCCAAAAGTAAAAGTCATTTAAAACATGAAAGAAAGAACAGTCAGAACAGTAAATAAAGTAAAGGAAAACATATTCCTCTAATATCAGTTTCTCCTGGGGGAGGGGAATGGGGGGATATGAGAGGGGTGGAGAAATGGGACAAAATTAGGTTCTCTTCAAAAGAAACTTTTCCCTATATAGTGCCTGGCTTGCCCTAGTTCCTCTCAGTTCCTGTCTTCTAAAGTATTCTCTATAACATAACAACTCTGTTCTTTGCATCTACCCCTTTTAGATGGTACTAAACATGTAGTCATAGGAAAACAAAGTTGTAACTGGCACAGCAGAAAAAGAAAAACTCAAAAGTCCTAAGATACTATTTTGCTTCTAGTTCCATTCTGCACAGCTAGTAATTTCACATGTAAACTCTGGAGTCACTGAGACTTGAGCTGGAATCTTGGTTCCATCATAGATTACATAAATTTTTTAAAAGCTTCTTAACTCCCATGTGTATCCTACTTCCTCATCTAAAATACAAAGAAAAGTAATAGCTTCTCTTTTTCAAGATTAATTTGCGGACTAAATGCGATATTCCATAAAACATTTAGCACAATATAAGTTCTTGGATATTGATTGGTAATCAGTATTAATTACCCACTATACCCTACTTTAAATCCAAGATGTGCCTTACCCTAGTGTAACTGTTTTTCCAGAGAGTGAATTTACAGGATTATGACCAGTACTTTTAAAAAAGGATATTCAACAGAAAACAAATAAGGACTAAAATAAGGGTAAGTATTGTTTCAAAAATCTATTTTTAGGTACACATACACTCATACTCTCCCTCTCTCTCTCTCTCTCTCTCTCTCTCTCTACTCTCCCTCTCTCTCTCTCTCTCTCTCTCTCTCTCTCTCTAACTGAACCTGTAGTTTTTTCTATGTTGTCTTCCCTATGTAATCACCAACAGAGTATATCTGGCTCTTCCTCAAGGCACAACAGCATTTTGTGCAGAACCTTACAATACTTACTAGACTATACTTGTTTACAAGTTTCTCTCCCATTAAAATATAAACTCCAAGGAAAATGCCTTATATTTTTGTATTTCTGCTATCTGAGAAATACTGCAGGTTTGGTATATTTCTGAATGAGTAAATCAACAAATTTTAACAGGATTAAAAACATACAAAATGCATTTATCATTATCTGATCAGGTTTTAATAAATTAATAAATGTTTGATTAATAAATGTTTGCTTAAGAAACTAAAATATGTGATGTGCATAATAAGCTTTCAAAAAGTAGGACATCAAAGTATACAGATGTGCTGCACAGTTCAAGCTTTATTTAAGCAAACCAGTCACATTCATGCTTCTTTCTTAAGGACAAATAAAGTTACCAGGCAGAAAGAAAAGGTGGTAAGATGAATTGCCCACAAAACTTTCACAGATAACTACAGGTACCATGAAAACACATCTAAATAACACCCAGCAGGTAACTTGCTTCAGTACTTATATAGAGAAATATGAAGAACTGCAATGTTTTCAATATTCATAAATTTTCATTATCATTCTCAATTGTGTTTAAATGTAAGAACCAACTATACAAGTCCACCAATTCTGCTTTTATTCTATCACAAAATAGCAAAACACTGGAAATAAATTCTAAAAAAACTTTTCACCATGCTTAGATACATTAAAGATCACACTTTACAATTTACTAAATCAAAGTTACATATAAAAGTTGGTTTTAAATTTGTCAAAAGGTAGACCGAAGTTTGCTCTCAAATGAGACTTTACTTTTTAAGGTTTGGGTTCCTTTATAGTGATCTTTTGAAATATTTATTTCTAAATCATTAACAACTGAAAAATTGGAAGTTTTCAACTTTTTAAAATTACACCTCTGTTGATATATAGTAGCTACATACATGAAATTGGGAGGAAAAAAAGAGAATGGTGTCACTATTTTAGGACTCAAGGTTTTTTTCATTCTCCCCCAGGCTAATTAATACGAATGATAACTTTACTTACTCTAAACTTGTTAAACATTTAAAGAAACAGTTATTGAACAAAACTTACTTCCCTTTGTCACTTTAAACACACATTTTAAGTTATTATGAAAACTCTATATCAAAGTAATTTATTGAACTTGGACATTAAAGCCAAGTCTTAACAGGTAACACTGATTTACTGAAGAAAAAAAAATGAGCTATGAGAAAGCATAAGAAACAAACTGATGAAAGCAGCAGCAGCTGTTGCTACTTATTAAAAATTCTTCCTTATAGTTGAAATGGCAATTTTAATGACCCTAGTAAAAATGGCAACACTCACCAGTATGAATCTTCTCATGTCTCTGTAGCAGGTACTTCTGTATGAAACGCATGTCACATTGACTACATTGAAATGGTTTTTCGCCTTAAAATAATTTCACATCCATAAATTAGTTATTGGATAAGATACAGTTTGTAGTTACTATTTATGAGGATAGGTAAATCTTAGAAGCTCAAATTCTGGAAAATTCTGAAAGTATCCATACAATTTTTTAAAAAATGTTCATTAACAGAATTTTATTTCCTCTAAGTATTTTCTTCAAAATTTTAAAATTCATTCTCATAATCACACAAAAAATGAGATTAATTATGATCTATATTCTTCCATGGAGAAAAAAAGGAAATAAAGCAATTTAAAATAGGATTTTAAATTCACTAGCCTAGAAATGACTCTACAGGTTATGAAATGTGTCAAACATTTCTTCCATTTTATCTGAAAGAAGATTCACCCACCCTGCTCTTTCTCCATCAGTGATCATCCCACCATGCTCTTTCACTTATTATCTAAAGAGCCATCAGAACTTCCTAACCATCCTTTCTTTTTTAAATTCTGTCTTTTCAAACATTTCCTCTCTGCTAGAGATCTTCCTTAAAGGAAAGTATTCTTTGGTCTGCTCTAAGCAAAGTTAGTTTCTAGAAATCCTGAAACACTCCCACCTTAGCAGCTTCCATCTTTTTTACCACACCTTGATAGAGTAGCTACACTATGTCTCAAATTCTTCACCACCTACTTGTGCTTTAACCTTTATAATTTGTTTTCTTAAAAGCAACTCCTGATCTCCTTGCTATTTACTCAGGTCACTATCCCTCTCTATCCACTCTGAAATTTGAGATACTGTTAATCATATCCTCGTAATTCTTCCTATTTCTGGCTCCCGGGACAGTTATCCTAGTTCATCAAAACTCCTTATTTCTCTATCTCTCCTGCTTCTTGCCAACCACCTCAATTCAACCTTCATACCTAGTATGTTTCTACAAAGATCTGCCATGAATCTTTAGTTCTGTTATCTACAATTTCGCTATTTTAACTACCATCTTATATCTTGATTCCCAAATTCATATTTTAGTCTCTATCTGGGCATCTTAAGTAGAAAAATAAAAATCAACAGACTTTAAAAAGTACATTCTTTATTTCTCACACTATACAGAACACTTTAAGCCAAATAAATGTCCAATTAATACTAAGTAATTTTGCACATCCATGCTAATTGTTTTCTCACTTAAAGTTTTTCCTGATTTCCTTACGATTTCCTTCATAGACTTCTTGTCTATGAAATCTCTCATTTGAAATGCCAAGTTAGCTACAGTTTTAGGAATGAATAACATTTACACGAAGATGAAAATAGCACAGATAATGATTTTAATGGCCATAAGCCCGTTCTAATTCAAGAAATACCTGTATGAATGAAGACATGTCTCTGTAAGTGATAGTTCGTTCTAAAGGCAGCATTGCAGTGCTCACAAACGTGAGATTTAGGGGTTTTCAAACCAAGTGATCCATCCTCATTTATTGTAAGAATCTAGTTTAAAAAAAGAGGGCAAAACAAAAGAAAAGTTTTTAAAACATAATACTAATTTATAAAAAAGATAATGCTTTTTAATGCAAGTAATGGTCACCAGAAATTATGAAATATTTTTTTTCCTAAATAATCTTGAGAAGGCTATTAGGTTATTAAAGTAATTATATCATTAGTTGTAGGAAAGTACAACATGACTCAATGTGAGTAACATCACTGATAAAATCTTGGAAGGTGGTTAAGTAAAATCTCAGCATTTTGCCCCCTCCTCTCTCATACTGGTATCTGAAAGAGTCTTCTTATGCATTCCCTGCTAGGGTGAACACAGCTTTATTTTCTATTTTCAAATTCTTACATATGCAAGACAAAAGTCATGTATTAGACATGATGTAACTATCGGTCAGTATAGTGAGAAAGCTCTTTATAATTTATATGGAAAGAGGTCCAATTTATTGCTAAGTTAAAAAAAAAAAACAACAAAATTTAGAATCCAGTATATAGTTTTACTAATTTTTTTATACACGGAAGTACATCATACAGGACTATTTATATATTTGATTGTCTATGCAAAAAAAAACTACTTGAGAAGAAGATACATAAAATAAACATAAGCTCAGTTGTGGCTAGTGAATTTGGCAGACAGGAGATAAACTAAAAGGGAGACTTTACATTGTACATACTTAAAATATTTTGAGGGAACCACAACCACATAAATGCTTACCTATTACACATCTCCTTTTTAAAAAAATTCAGAGAAACTAAGTTTTTGAATTATCCTAGGGTAGAATTAGCAGTTTAGAACCTCTCAGGTTATCTGAGGACTACCAAACTGTTGTTAAAAATATTCCTGAAAATGGGTGTTGAGTAAATAAATTAGAGAAGGTATGGGGAAGGAAAAGAAATGACAAAGAAATCAACTTTATTTTGGGAGGCTTCTTGAGGGCAAGAGCACTATGGCCCTGATCTGGATACTGCCTCTCTCATCAGACATGTGACATATTGAAAATAATTAATGATGCTTTTTTCTTTTTTCATTTTTGACGAGAGAAGAAAAGATGACAGGACATGATGTAAAAATAAGAAGAAAACTAGGAGATAAGGTGAGTAAAAGAAAGGTAAGTAAGAGAGAAACAATAAGAGGTCAGGCAAAGCTAGAGCTAAGAAATTGTGTGCCACATAGGCAGAGAAGTTTAAGAAACGACTTAATTCAAAAGTGATAAGACCTGTTAATACAAAGCTATGATCTTCTCTCAAACCAAGAAAAAGGGAGGTAAGAAAAAAGGAATAAAAAAAACCTTTTTTTTACTTAAATTCAGGAAAACAGTTCAGACTATACTGTATGCAAATCAACAGTAATTGTTATGCAAATTAAATGGGCATTTGGTTCTGGGCAAAATGCCAATGTGGTCAACAGTGCTTCAAAGTCTATGCACCAAAGTCACAGAGGGAACATTTGGCAGGAGAATGGAAGTGGGTGTCACAGTTTCCCGGGGAGAGTCAGTAGGAATGGAAAGTTTCATCTCTGGCCAGTCAGTCTAAAATGTTTTCAACCCCTCCAAGTCACAAAATAATATGCAAGTTAATACTCTGCAAAACAAAAAAAAGACACAAAAACCTTTAAATGTGATTCAAAGTATCTCTAACATAAAACAAATAATAAAAAGATGTTAAACATTTTATATGAAACAATTAAAATGATAGCACCATTTTTTTCACATATGGTGATAACAGGCAAGATCCAATTGCCAAAAAACATGGTAGCTAAATGGATTTCTGTGGCATAGCAACTGCAAGGAAAGGCTTTGTAAGGAGCAAATCTGGCCCAAATTACTTAATGTGAAACGGATGTAATTCTTAACCGTACAAAGCCCTTTGATGAAGAGTTAAGGGAGTTCTAAGTCATTGTTTCCCAGCAGCAGAGGTAATGCCTTTCTTTGGAACTCAAGCCTTAATACCAGTTGGATTTATGGATAAAACAACTAACACTGCCTTGTGAATAGCAGACCAAAATCTCTTGCATATTTGTAAGTTCAAAGACAGAAAAACCTAATTCTACTAAGACAATTTTTTCTTCCCTTTTTAGTCCAGAGTAATAAACAACTTATTTTAAAAACAGAGTAAAATTCATCTTGCCTCAGTTGAGTACCAGTGGCTCATTAATCCAATTTGTAATCTGCTTTCACTATAACCACCTGCTTTTGTCTGTTTTATTCACCTTTATATAACCTCAGTGTCCAAAATGGGCTCTGGAACATAATGAGAATAAATGTTTATTGACTTGGTTGGCTGCCTATCATCCACACCAAACACTTTATACTTTTTTAAAAGTTTTGCCCAAAAGTGGCATTTTTCAAAGTTACAAAGCAGTGCTATTGAGAGTTAGGTATGCAAAGAACAAAGTCCTTACTAGCAGAATTGTCACATTATTAAAGGCAAATTTTACTTCCTTGTTATAGACTTAGCTTTTTTTATTCACACCCTTGTAATATCTCTAGTAGAAGTAATCTATCAGTTAAACTTTTGGAGAAATCTGTAATATTACAGGGACTAGGCAATCAGGCTTTATCAAGAATGAAAAAATTAGTAATAGTCTAAATAATACTCAACATACTTGATTTTTCTCTTAACTGACTAATAATAAATTTAAAATGGAAGTTTTCAGTGAAAAAAAATGCAATACCAAAGGAACTCCTCAATGTGCTTTTTTAATTTCATGGTCCATTAGTAGATATATTTTTTTGTTCTGAATCACATCTGTTCCCAGTTAGCTACCCTTATATATGGTGATATTTATTTTAAATAATATACTAATTTTACTCAAACAAAGCAATAAACACTTATCTGTTCAACTAATGATTTTCCATTTGTCAAAGGTCACAGCCAGTGAATAAATGAAAACTGACAACCCTCAATAAAAAAGTTGCTCTTTTAAAAAGACAGACATCATTTCCCCTAATCTACATTATGTATACCATGTATTTATTACTGAAATTATTAAAAGATGTTCTCAACTAATGATTATAGTTTTAGTATACATTCCTAAATTGTTTCTAAACCACCAAAACCTAAAAGACAATTTAGAGAAGACAGTTTGATTTCTCACAGCTGTTTTATCACAACTGGGAATTAGGAGTAACTTCTTTCAAAATTCTCTCTTCTCTCCAAATCCAAAAGGAAAAAGTGTACAACCCCGAATACATATAACAAAATAACAATTGTTCAAACCAATAACCATCACATCTCTACCATTCTAACAGCCCACCCTCATGTTGTCACTTCCTTTTGTTCTTTGGGATTTTTGCCTCTCAATTACTTTTAGATTTTACATATTATCAGTTTCATTTTTAAATTGTTAAGTTCAGACTGTACTGACTATATCATAAACATGATCTATTTACTAATGTTTGGCATCAGCTGACCTTGAGTTTTAGAAAAAACTAGGTATTTCCTGTTTCCTAAATATTAGTAAATATTTCCTTTGCCTAAATATTAGGCAAAGAAGTATATGATATTTTTAAAAGATTTGTATCAAAATACTTTTAAAAGTTAATGCTCAGTGATAATTCCCTGGGAAATTTAGATAAAGTACTACTAGAGTACTTTACTAATTTTTTTCTTTGTTTTTCTTTCAAGTACTATTCTATATGCCTATCCCTGGTTTGATAATCAGTTCTTCACCTTCAAAGCAATTTCTTCCACAGAGAAGTTAACACGTAGGGTACCATATGACAAATGCCTGGTATATCTATTTTTCTGTCCCTTTTAATTACTATTTCTTCATTTTATGTGATCAATGCAATTTACACCCTATTAAAAAAAATCACATTTTCCCACCCTGAGAATCAACAGTGGATAATAAATTGCTAGGAAAGAAATCTCTGTATAATTTATAATCTATTTGAATTATGGAATGTCTTCCTTCCTCAATTCAGTATAACTTTGAATAATCAATTTCTACTCAGAAAAATTGAAGTGGTTACAACAAGCAAGCCCAATTCCGGTCTTCAGCACCAGATAAAAGATCCCAGCACACAATATGCATATAAATTAATTTGCTAAGAGAATAATGAAGGATATACATTTCAGAATGAGAAGTAATTATATTCTGGCTCTGTCTCATTCAATCATTAAAGAGTTTGAAGAAACTTATAAAATGTATACCATACTGAGTTAAGCTAATATTGTTATATACTACTAAAAAAGGAGGAATGTTAACTCAACAATCCTCCCAAAATTTTTCTGTGGTAGGAAACATTATCTCCTAATACACATAACAAGTCAACAGCAAAGTCAGGTAGTAACAACTCATTTATCCAGACACTTCGAGTATCAAGATTTGCGATTCTCAAGCTTAAGTATATACTACAATTACAATGCACTCTAAAATACAAATGAAAATCCCCTGATCAAGATCTGCAGGGATGGGGCCTGGGTATTTACAACTAGAAAAGCCCTAGAGGTGACTATAATCAGAGCCAGGAGAGAGAACTACTGATATGAATGCAGTGAGACTGAACTGAATTAAGTTTAGTAAGACTTTTCATTCATTTCTAATAACTTTAGTTTTCTGTAGTCCTACTCTAAAACAAAACAAAACAAGATTTAAAAGGGCAATAGAAAGTGCTGTTAAGTGCTCGCACCAGTGGAGCAATGTAAAAAATGAATAGCACATCAGGAAGAAGTGAGAGAGAGAGAAGCAGAGATAACCAGTCAAAAAATACTTAAAAGTTTTAGCAGTTGAGGGCCTCCCTGGTGGTGCAGCGGGCTGAGCACCCCGGTGTGGAGCTGTCCGCAGCCTCTGCAGCACGGACTTCTGGCCGGCCAGGGAGATTCCCACATGGCACGGCAGACCTCTCCTGTCTCGCCCACTGTTCCCCTCAGCAGTGTCTTTGGTCTGTCTGCCTGTTTTGCTCCCCGCTCTGTCTCTGGTGAATTCTCTCACCCTCCCGCCCCTCTGACCTGTACCCAGTTCTTGGATAAATAAAATCTTAAAAAAAAAGAAAGAAAGAAAGAAAATAGACTCTTCTGTCTATGAATGTGAAAAAAAAGTTTTAGCAGTCAAGAGTTTTCAAAGTGGGGTGGGGTGGGGGGCGAAAGGAAGCCTTAAGACATCAGTCTTCTCAGAAGGCTTCATTATAATATGTATGACCTTTAAAAATTATTTACAAACCACCTGATGGGGAAGCAATCCAAAAAGTACATTATTATAGAAACTGTTCTTAAGATCTCAAGTTTAAAAATTTGGGTAAAAGTTACCAGATAAATTAAAACATTAGTTATATATGAACGAAAACGGTCTGGGGGAGTTTTTTATTGTTTAGTTTCATGTTGTATATTTGAAAAGAAAATTATTACCTTTAAAATACAAAAAATTGAGCAAACGAAAAAAAAAATTATTTACAACACCACCCCCAAGACATTAAAAGCTGAATCTTGTTCAAATGCACTATAATTTGAAAAGAAAAAAATATCACATTAAAGATTCCCATCAAAGTGATGTAAAATAATATTTGACATTTGAAAGGGACAGGCTTTTATTGTGTAGAAAATTTACTTTAATAAAAATAGCATATTATTAAATAATTTAACCTAGATAACATAACCTAGCCTGATTTCCCTATTCTTTAGACATGTTGCCAAATGTATTTTGGCAACTTTCAAGTATCAAATTTACCTTGAGGTGACTGTGCTGTGTGCCATATGACAAAAACTCAAAAGCAATTGTTCTTTAAAATCCATGGCAGCTAAAGGTAACATGACATTATATTACTTCTCACTATAAAGCTTATCTTGAAGGGAGCCACATTTATATAGCTGTAAAAGGTCTGATACTTTTACCAAAAGTCTATCACTTTAGTTATACATCTTGTACAAATTCCCAATCTAATATGACAGTGGTGAAACATACCCAAATTATTGATAATGGTAAAATTCAAGATTTGGAAAAGATACTGGGAGAATTTATTATTTATTACAATAAATTACAGTCCACTGAGGAACAAACTGCTTTTAGGGAATTTGAAACAAGTAACACAATGATTTATAAACGTGATAAGTTTTTCTTATTCTCCACAAAGTGCAGAGTTACTCTAATGAAAAATCTAAAATGTGAATTTCTAAACACATGTCTGAGAAATAGAAAATAACTCATTGGTTATGCCCAAAGTTTTATGACTCTAAAGACAAAAATCATTCATCTGGAGACTATAGACTGATCTTAAAAACAGTCTAAAACCATTCTTTGTCCCAATGCATGTGACATGTAAGGATGATTTAAAAATAATTTTTTAAATAATTTTCGCTCACTCCTGTCTGCCATACATTATTTCTAGTCACTATGAATTCCCTTCAAAAATTACCCTAAAACATTTGCCTATATACAAAATATTTAGAAGAGACCAAATATTTCACCCAGCAACACAAAGATATATACTTAAATACCCTTAGAAATATTAAAAATGAATTTTAGCTATCTCAAATTAAAAAAGGAAATGCCTTACACTGCAAAAAACTTTTTTTTCCACACTGTAAAAATTTTATGTGTATTTAGAAATACCTATAACGTATCACTAAGATTCCACATAACACCTAAGAATAGTCAGAATTTCACATTACTCAAAAACAGTACCAGAAAAAGGACAATAAAATAATAAGGAAAATGTAGAATGTTTATATGTGTGGAGATATATATATATATATATATATATATATATAAATAATTTTTAAAGACTTAGAACACCAGCAGTGAACCCAAAGTAACATAATCAATATAGAGGTTTAAAAATGAACTTTTTTCTCAAAAGCTGGTATTGTTCTACATGTGAAGAACTTGATTTATTAATATAAATAACAAAAAAAAGTATCATATAAACTATTGAGAAAAAACATTAGGCCCAAGGAAAATAGAAGCGAAAGAGTGAAAGGGAGGGAGGAAGAAGTTAAAAATGTCAAATATAAAATGCTACCAATTATGATCAACAGAGTTTAGTATAACCAATAACTAAATAAACTAAAATTTCCTTGTATTATAAATTTCATTAACTATAATGTGATGCCCATCTCAAGTTAAAAAAAAAAGCAGTCATACTCAGGGCCAGTAAGTGTGGAGAGATACGCCTTAGTTCCACTGGAGATAGCAACGTAACTAGTACAACATTACTGGATGAATAACATTATCAAGAAACCTTTATAAAACTTCATGTCCTCTGATTCAGTAGTACACAAAGATTTTTACACAAATATTTTAAGAACAGCATGATTTAAAATGAAGGCAAAGAGAATACAACTTTCCAACAACGTAGCAACCACAACTATAGTGTGATATATCAAAAATAATATATTACAGAACAAATAAAACCTTTATAAAAGTCATTAATACTTTGGAATGTAGAACAAGCTTATATACACTTTTAAGTGTTAAAAAAGAAGAGCTTACGTCAATCCATACACATACACAAATTTGAAAGATAGAAAGGGAAGAAAATGGCAGAAAACTAAGGTAATTAATGCCAGGAAATGCGACTATGATTATTTTAGTCTCTATAATTTTCAAAATTTTCTATAGTAGACATACTTATATATATTCTAAAGCAGTGATATTTTGGTAAGTGTTTAACAACCAATTAGAGTATCAGAGAGACTGGGAAGTACCTGTTACTTCTATGGAGTAAATAGTCTCACCATGGCTAAGTTTATGCTACCAAGCGTAAAATTTCCGAAAATTTGGCAATCAGTTCTGGCAGGCAAGTACAAGCTGACTCCAGCATACCACTGAGTCAGAAGTAAACAAAACACACAAATAATGGTTATGATGATGATTGAAATCATAAATGTGGAAAAAGCAACCATCAAAATTAAAAGGTCATGTTATATACGATACTTTAAAATAGGATCTCTTTATGCTTGCGATATAATTTTTTTAAAGAAAACCTTCATTATATGAGGGGAGAGAACAAAAGATGAAAATTAACCATAAAAATGTAAATATTCAATTCAGAATGCTATATAAAGTCAACTAATACTGTACTGAAGGGAGAGAGAGTACTGAAAAAGTGGGGGCAGTGAGGAACACTGTACTGAAGAGCAGGCAAAGCCTAACAGCATTTTTCTGGGTCACTTGTCCATTTACTACTTTAGTCATTTACACATAAAGTATTTACTGAGGGCCTATACTACCTACTATACTATACCAGGCTCTCGGGATACAGTCATGAATAAACTAAGGTTCATGTCCTTATGGATCTTATAGTCTAGTTTACAGGTATCCCACAACCTGATTCCTGATGAATAAATTGATATTGATTTTCCTGAAACCTTAATGTTAAAATAAACAAAATTAATATGTGTGAGAAGCAAGGGCACTTCATACCATCTTTTTTTTAAAAAAAGAAATAACATGAGAAAAGTTTACTCCGAAATAAGACATGACGAAAGAGAAGTGAAAAAACTGAAGGCAATGGTCCACCACGTCTATGCAAGCATGCATTCCTTCCCTCCTCTAGGTGAGGCTACTACAACATGCCAACTTTACTAAGCCCTGTGACACTTTTATGTGTGCTTTATGATCCAGCCAGAGAGATTAACCAGTAAGATGAACCATAATATTAAATATTTTTGCAATTAAGATGTTAGGGACCACCACCTTAATATAGTCTCTTACTTTTGCAGGAGAACGTTGTTTCCGTTTCTTCTTTTTCTGTAAGTCTACTGGTTCTCTGATTTGCTTTTTGTCTCTTATCAGTTGCTCAGATACATCAGTAAAAGTGATTTCCTGCTTTACACTTATCTGTTAAAAAAAAAAAGGCCAATTTTATAATGAAACAAAAAGTCACCACGTGTTTAATACTACTAAACCTACACATAGGTATTCCCAGAGTGATTACTTGTGTGTGTGTTTGTGCAAACAGTGTACTTAAGAATTTACTAATGTGGGCCTCCCCTGGTGGCACAGGCGTTTGAGCGCAGCACTGTGAAGCTGTCCGCAGTCTCTGCAGTGCCAGTTCGATCCCGGCAGGCCAGCGAGGGTCCCACATGGTGAGCAAACCCCTCCTGTCTCGCCTGGTGCTCCCCTCAGCAGTGTATTTCGTCAGTCTGCCTGTTCTATTCCCCACTCTGTCTCTGGTGAATCCTCTCACCCTCTGGCAAATCTGGCCTGTACCCCAGTTCTTCTATAAATAAATAGAATTTACTAATGGACAGTTGAAAAATTTACTAATGGACAGTTGAAAAATAAGAGTCAAGAATATATAAATTAAGGAACAAACTAAAAATGTACAAGAAAAAAGAAAGATTAATAATGACCTAAGTGAACAACGATATTGTAAAGGATACACTTGGACTTTAACTGGTCAACTTAATAGAGTTTATAAACACATGCTGATTTTCAATGATGCACACCCAAAATTTATGATTTTATAATCATAGAGAAAACTCTTTCCTTAAAGGAAAAAAAAAAAAAAAGGTGACCTGGAAAAAGACAATTGTAAGGCCTAGCAAAATAAAGCAGATGTCAATTTCATTTCCACATTTAAGAAACTGAAAAGCACCAAAAAATTTTAAAAGTTGAATTTCAAAAATCCATAAAAAACTGGGGGGTGTCCCAAAAACACAAAGGGGGATCACAACCGGCTTTCCATTAATTTACGAAATAGCACAAAAACACAAAATGCTAAAAGGTAACCTACACAAAAGACTACAACAAACAATGTAAATTTCATCATCTTTAAACGTAACACTTTTTTTTAAAAAGATTTATTTATTTATTTATACAAGCACTGGGTACAGTCAGAAGTGCAGGAGGGTGAGAGAATTCACCAGAGCCAGAGCGGGGAACAGAGCAGGCAGAAGGACCGAAGTACACTGCTGAGGGGAGCAGCGGGAGGCAGGAAAGGTCTGCGTGCCTTGTGGGACCCTCCTCAGGTGGCCGGGGAGCAGCAGGGGATCGAACCGGTGCTGCTGAGGCTGCGGGCAGCTTCACAACCCAGAGCTCAACCGCTGCGCCACCGGGGAGGCCCTAAGCTTAACACTTTTGACAGTGCATCTTAGCCTGTATTTCCCTGGCCTCTACAACAAATCATCCATTACCAAGTATGTGTTTATAGAATTATGTATGGTTTTAGGCTACTGCTATATATAAGGCAAGATGCTAATTACATAATAAATACAAAAATACTACAAGAAACATTAAGATGTCCACAATATCATTCCATCTTTAGATCTCAGTTCTCACAAATACGAATTGCTTGTCTTAAAAAAACAGACCAAAGTTCTAAGAACGCTAATTAGTAGTGTTGACTCTCATAAGAACTGAGAATCGTCCTTCTAACTGCTATATTTTCATTCTACTCTTGAAAACACACAAATCCTAAACTAAGAAACTTTCAACTCAACAGGCAATGTAATGTATTAAAAATCCCTGACCCTTCCACCATGTACGGACACAACGACAATCTGCAACATAGAAGGTCTTCCTTCATTCTACCATGCTGACATTCTGATCTCTAATTTCCTGTCTTCCGAACTTTTAAAAATAAATTTCTATTATTTGCAAGGTTTAAAAAAAATGATAATAATCTGGGAAGTACAAAGTGCCAATGGTTACATTAAAAAACACAACTAATCACAATTATGGACATCTTACAGATTAATGGTGTAAAGATTGTATAAAGACAGATGATCAGAAGGGGTTCATGAGGAAAATAAAACATAATCCAGGAATTTCAGGATGGCAAAATAAAAATTGAAAGCCTTCATAAATTCCTAATATGTAGGCAAAGTAAGAATCACAAATCAAGGAGAACCTTGGTGCAAAAACATTGTACTTAGCCAGTAATTCTATCAGGTTATAGAACAGTACTAGTGACTTATGCCTTCTTTGTTATCATTTGGAACATTATAAAGTAGCAAAATCACCTTTACATAGCTTTGGGATAAAGACACGCTACTGTTTCTGAAGTGATGTTTACTGAAATATAACTACTTAGGTCAGGTATAAGAGAAATAACAAACTAAGCAGCTGGTTAATTGTGCTGCCCCATTTTGCAGGGGTACAAATAAGTGGTTCAAACATTTCTGTCAGCTTATTAATTGCAACTAAACCATGGAAATGCAGCATGCAACAATACAAAACAGAGAAACTCTTTAGTAAACATATCCAGTTAAGTGTAAGACAAATTCACAAATAAGTTCTGCAATTAACATCTATTCACAACCAAGGGAGTGGCTTTAATGTGCAAACAGTGAAAAAGATTAATACATGTATCTGAGCCTTCTAGTTATTTCTACATACATAGAAAGTGACTGTAGAAGTACCAGCATTTTTAAATGTAATGCATAATCCCCCTCCAAAGGAAAAAGGCTCAACAGAAAGATTCCAGATTCACATCATGATACATGATTAAATGTTTGTCCTTAAAAGAGCTCAATTTCCCCATCTTTTTTTCTTTTCTCCATCTTTTTTTCTATTTAACTTATCTTGTTGTCTTTTTCAGCTGTACTTTTCTGTTACTTTCTCCCCACCTTTTCCTATCTATGGTTATACTGACAGATCTCCTTCATCTCTCCATTCCTCTCCCCAGAAGATTAGAAAATGTATTCATATACAAAGCAGGTTAATTACCATTAAATTGTTTAATGTACCCTTTCAACTTTACAAACACCTAGGTAATATCTGTGACCTTTTCCCCTCACCCTCCAATATGCTATTAAATGTCCATCTTCCAGGACAGAAAAGTGACGTTTTATTTTCTAGTTTCCTTGTTGATTTTTGACAAGGGAGGGTATACTAGTATAGATATGGTTTTAGAATCACCTGGATAGCTCAAGTATGTCCTCCAGTAATTCTTTCAAAGAGAGAATTCAAAAAATAAATTTTCTGAATTCTTCAATAGCATCACCTTTGTTTTACCCTTAAAAGTAAGTGCCAACTTGGCTGGGTATAGGATAATTAAAACCTTTTTCCTATGTTATATGATCCAGTCTAAGTTACTTAAAAAAGATGTTTACAAATCCCAAAACATAAATACATAGATATAACAAGACAGCCAAAAATAGCAAGGTGAAAAAGTATGGGAAAACCGAAGTCTTCCTTGGCTCAAGAAAGACTACAAAAATCCACGAAAATTTCTTAAGCATGACAAAAAAAAATAACTCATTAAGTTGTCTACCCTTTTTTTAAAAAAAGATTTATTTTTATGTATGCATACAAGAACTGGGGTGTAGACCAGAGGTGCGGGAGCGGGCTGTGGTGAGAGGAGTCACCAGACACAGAGTGGGGAGCAGAACAGGCAGATCTACTGAAACAACACTGCTGAGGGGAGCAGCAGGAAAGACAGGAGAGGTCTGTTGAGCCATGTGTGTTGGCTCCCTGACGGGAATCAAACTCATACCACAGTGGCTGGCGTTAGCTTGATAGCTTGATTGGACTGAGACTAAACCCTCAAGGAAGCCCCACCCTTTTCTTCAGAACTGTCTTTAAAAGAAAACCAAATTTTCAAAACCAAACTATAATTAACCAAAGCAGGCATCAGCAGATATGTAGTATTTGGAGACTGACTTGCTATGACAGTATCAATAAAACCAACAGACTAGGAAATATACCAGAATTTTTAAATTAAAAAAAAAAAAAAAACTTCTCGGTTCTTGCCCCACAATTTATGCTTTCCCATTCTACCCAGTCCTATACGCAGGCTCATGCCCACATTTGAGGACCTGGATTTCAATACCACTTGTACTACCAACCAAGAAATACCATCAACACTGTCAATCACCCCACTCATTTTTCTTTCATATTATTTGACTAAACCCAGATATTTCTCCACCTAAAACTCTAAGACCACTGGTTTATACACCAATGAAAGCATTCCCTCTGGGTCTCCTACTCTGAGACTATAAAAGTCATGAGGCATGACTCCTATATCGTGTAATGTTCCTCACCCCTTGCCACTACCAAAGCCAGTTCATTCTAGCTAGATAGAAAATTTATCTCTTAATTATCCTAATATTCTTACTTTTTCTCCCTCCCTCTCTCGCCACCTCCCTCTCTCTCACCCCCAACTTGAAATAGAAGTACCCTTCCCTTGTCTCTAACCACTAAGCCCAGAATCCAAAATGACTTTATCTTTTCAGACTCATCTCATGTCTAGCCCTAAAATAACTATCGTACTTTTATGTTTAATCATTTTATGCACTTGTATGTGGTTTTGATATTTAAAAGTAAAATCTTCTTTGGTGTTTCCCGTAACAGCTTTCACTCATTTGTGCATGCAACAGCTATTAAGCGCTTGCTATGTGCTAAACTCAAGTCAGTCTAAAACAATACAACAAAAGCTTTAAATATACAGATTCTAGTATATGCAAAACATAAGTGTAGATATTGAGAAAACTTTCAAAATATAAGGTCTCCTAATTAAAGGTCTTAAAATGCAGATGAGGCATTTTAATGCATTACCAAATAAACCCTAATAATTCAAGACAGCAAATGTCAGGCTCAAAATAAAAAATGAATGATATAAGGAAAAGGGAATCAGAGGTAGAAATTAATGAAATTTAAAATAACTGCAAAGGCTTCACAGATGAAACATGAACTTTAATCAGAGCTACAGGCTTATCATATCTTTTGGGTTTTTTTTTTCCTTCCAAATCTGTCTTCTTTCCACTCAACTCAATAATGTTGATAAGTAATTAAACAAATGTAAATGTACCCAAAATAATGTTGCCATAGTATACAATGACTATTTCATCTGGTTTGCAAATTTTAATCTACCCTTTACTCTCAACTCCCAAACA